GCATCAATAAGCAGTCTCCTTGTGTATGGATTAGGTGAGTGACAGGTCCACGGTACAGTAACCAGTCCATCAAGCAAATAGAAAAAAACCCCACACACGCTCACCTTTATACCTACACAAGAACTATGGTTTCCAGTGTAAACACACAAACACACCCAATGGCCCTGGGCTCAAAGCCCCTAAACAAAGAGCCTCATGCTGCCTCTGCTTGCAGCTACAGTATCCACCCTCACTAACCTGTTATCAACAGCAGCCAATGAGACACTGCTATCTAGGCACAGTGCTGTCAGTATTCTGAATGATACAGACAAGCTGTATCTTGCAGAGCAATCATCAAGACGTGCACATTCAGTACAGTACAAATTTCACAGGTGACCAACGTGCTCAGTAAAGGAAAAAAAAACCAACAAACAGCGGGCCCCACATCAAAATGACGTTATGCCATGTGTACATGTAGGCTATCACTGTGCGCCTTCTTAACTTTCTACTCACAGAACATTGGCTCGCCCTGATAAGCTGATTTTGGGTGCACTTTGGGCCTTACAAGGAAAGACCATGTTGATGTTGGCTACAGTAGAGCTGATAGGAAGCCCATGGCTTGTCAGTGAACACTAGCCACATTCAGATAAAAGTTACACAGCCAGGCTTATACTATGAAACCCAGGCTAGCATGAGTGAGAGAGAGAGGGGGGGGGCAACAGAAATCTTGGGGCGTGCCAAACTAGATTTATGCCTTTTTGTTTAGCCTCATAACTATACGGACACAGTAGCAAGACATTAATAAGGTTTTACAGCTTTAATTTAATCTGCTACTTCGATATGAGTATTAAAACTCTGAGCTAAAACGTAAACACTACATCAAGAGCCCAGTTTCACTGCTTCAGTTATGTTTCCAGGTCTTACTACAACTCGGCTGATGTACAATCTACCCTCCTTTTTTTTTGCACCTAGACACAGGAACTATGTTTACTAGCGGCAAAAGGAATAAAGCACTGAAACAACAGGCAGTTATTTTCAATATCAATTCATTAGTTGTGCATGTTTTAATGAATTCATTGTTTATATCTGGAAAAATACTGGACAAGCTAGCCTGTGTGAGCATTCTGTAGTTTTCTGTATGAAAACTACCAGTTTATAATGGGTAAAAACCACTAAAGAAATGGTTAATAACAGCCCAATCTACATGCTTCAACAGCATTAAGTTTTATTTGTTTTAGAAGAAGCATTAGCTGAGGAAAAAAAAATCCTCTTAAACAGTTTGTGACAATCAATAAAACCTCCAGGGTGCACCAACTTTAAAGATCTGGTTTCTCTTAATCAGCAGAAAACGGTCTTTCAGCCCGTATTTATGCATCTGAGGACCTGGTATTAATTGGTTGTGGGTGCTAAGGCCAGCCTTCCATTAATAACAGCCCTCATAAAAACACTGCACGATAACAGAAACTGTGTTGGTTTATGTTTAAAAATGAACCAAGCGTATAAAAGTGCCTGAGACGCTGAGGGGGCAAGGTTGGAGAGAACTGCTGGAAAGTGCTGCCCTTGAATAAGATCAGGTATTGTGCAACATATGCCCTTTACAAAGGATCACCAAAAAGGATATGTGCCTCAGTGAACTCATTCCTATCAGTTACTAAGTAGCTCGGTGTGCTGTTGCAGTCACTTGTGAGGTGCTGAACCTCCAAGCTCATTAATCCATGCAACGATCAGCATTTTAGACGCAGTAACAACAACTCTTCCTTTTGACTCAATGCAGTGCAGTGAGAACAGTATATGAATGGGAAGAACAGAGGGCCACACAACAGCTCATCAATTTTTCATTTCCTCTGTATTAACTTAAAAGCTCAGCGGTCAATACCTATATGGCACCTGAATTACCTGTGGGTGAGCAGTTGCTAGGTAGCTGCCACCTGTAAAGCAACATTATCAAGCAGCATTTAAACTCTTGTTTTATCCATAGGTAAGTGACAAAAAAAAGAGATGTATGCAGCCATTAAGAGGTCTGGAGGCTGAATGACCAGTGCAGAGACACCAACACTAACAAATACACAAAATGACCAAAAGTACAAGTGGAACTAGTTTTTTTTTTATCCTGCTTCATGGGCATCTGCGATGTGATGTAGACTAAGTCTTCTTTCTTTAAAAAAAAAAAAAAAAAAAAAAAAAAAAAGGAAAGAAAGAAAGAAAAAACTTTAAACGATTCTGTAAAATTTGCAATGCTTATGCAAGAACTACGAGGGCGACTTTAATGGAGATTTGGATGAAGAGAAAAAAAAAAATGTGATAAGTGTGGCAGATGCAACTGAGCGTCTAAAGATAACCAAACAATCGGCACAAGTGTTTGGGTACAGTTTGTTTTAAAATGTTCTGCAGCACCCACTGGGTGTTACTTTATCAGCTTGCCAGCAGACTTATATAATCAGTTAGTGATATTTTTGCCATGTCCATCCGGTTTTAAATGCATTGATAAGGTGTGTGTACTCAGCACAACATGTGATTAGGAAGAACAAAAGGATATGGATGAGCAATATCTGACTGTTTGCACTTGATCTTAAACCCAAAATAGCAAAGATCACATAAGAGCAAGTAATCAAGTACTGATTCTGATCAGTTCCTTATTTTTGAAGCTCACCCAGCATTAATTATGAAATTTGAGAATTTAAAAAGAAATCTGATAACACATGATCCAGAAATGTTTAGCATTAACATATAAAAGAAACAAAATTGTATAAGCGTGACTATTAAACAACAAAATACCAGGATGTTTTGCTTCCTGGACACAAAGTGCAAATAGACAACACTTTATGAACTGCATGAAAGTTTCTTATCTGTGCTTCAACTGGCTGGTAATGTTGTGAATGTCAATACATCATTCATGTTTTAAATAATAAAGAGTGAAATTAAAAGCCCTCACTTACAATGTTGGCGCTGGATACAAAAAGAAGTCTATAAGAAAACAGCAGAAAAGCTCCAACACACTCAAACTAGTGATCTTCCTCAGACATGTGTATGATTTCACAGCGTTTATATCTTTCAGGGGTTTTGTAAGCTTAAGGAAGCTTTGATTCTAGTGAGGGACTACTTTTCTCTGTATTAGTACAAGCCTTCATTTGGTTTATGAAGAGAGACAGCACACAAAAGTTTTCAGTGGCTTTAATGTCTCATGTCACAGAGGGTTCGGCATGTTTTCTTTAGCTTTTATGTGATCGCACAATGCCTCCCTGTAGACGCCGCCCAGACTGCAATGCATTCAGCATAACAATGCAGCCCAACCATTCACAAAAGAACACCTCTCTGTGTCACAGTGACAATTATGATGAATTGAAGTTCTGATCTCTATAACTAGATGTGCTTTAAAACCTGTTCTGTATTCTGAACAGCTTAGAACATCCGGCAGATTAGAGCTCAGGCTCTGTAATACATAGTTAAAAGAGCTTAAGGCATTTCTACCTGAGTTGCAGTGACGCACCTTCCACTGCTGCTCCATCAACATTACAGGAGCGATCTCTGTTTAGCCACCAACACTCAGCTTTTGAGTTTCACTTAAGCATCAAAAGGTGGACGGGGTGGTGATTTCACTTAAGAAATGGGACTGAATCTGAGTCCGTCTCTTTGAGGTTAAATTATCACAGCAGTAACCATATCAACAGTGGTCACCTTTAAGCTTATTAGGAGCGATTAAGGAGCTTAACTGGACTCATGTCTCAAGTAAAGAGATGAAATAGCATGCTTGTTTCCAACACAGAGCCACAAAAAAGATTGCTGTACTTTTCACTCCACAGAAGGTAAAATCAGGGTTATGTCTGACCACAAAGTACCCCAATGGACCATTGCGTTTATTTGACTCAAACATGTGAAACATCAGTGCCTGTGTTGCATGATGCAGGTAATGGGTCATCTGTGCCCCAAGCAGGAGCCTGTGTGACTCTCCATCTGCTTCCTGTTAACAGATACCTGTTGTGTGACTTGACAGACAGGTGGGCTCTGAGGCAGAAGGTGCTAGAGCTTGATCCTTAAGGGCAGATTCCCTTCATGCCCATACATTCTCTTATTATCTGCACTCCGATGGCTTCTGTAGAAAATAACTGCACAACAAAAAGTAGCTCTGTGCATTTTTTTTAATTCAGTAAAGAGTGCTTTTAAATGAAGATGTCTCTTTAAAAAAAAAAAACTTCCAGTGTGTTTGAATCAAAACAAAAGTAAACATTGCCAGCATGTATATAGTGCAATATCCTTGTCACATGGTTTAATTTGACATTTAAAGGCTATGAGGACACAACTTCAAAGCTCATGTGGCTGCCAGTTACTGACACCCATCCACGTCTCACACACACACACACACACACACACACACACACACACAACTGCAAATGTTAAGAGTGGACTTACAGTTTTAATCTTTAAATCCACAACTGTGCTATCAAACCATGTAAGCAAGAGAAGTCTCAGCTGTTGCCCAGGCTGTTTCAAGGCTGTGCGCCAAATGCTATGGCATAAAAAGTACTGACACTTCTACAGTTTTACTGAAGCCTGCCTCTTCAGTCGTCTGCCTTACTTTATGTTTACATGATACACGTGGGCATTATGCCCTGCAAGGCCAGACCACCAAGCAGAACTTCATCTCACAAGCCCCACATCACATTTACTTTTTAACACAACCACTGACGGTATGTTCCTAAAAACTTTTTCTATTACCTTTCAGATGTTCTTAGCTGTCACGTGAGGCCTTCAGAGAGCCCCAGTGTCACTGGTTGTTAATGAAAACAGAGATTAGAGGGGATTCATGACAAGCAGAGTACTGTAGCTCAGCTTGGAGCTGACTGCTAACAGGATGACCTGCCTTACCATGCAAGTGCCTGACACAACTAACTCAAGGTCAGTGGGGAATAATATACAGTAGATTAGCTGCCTGACATCAACCCTGATGCCCTGAGGGAGGAATTAGAGCAGCAAGTGGGCCAGGAAATCAAGAAAAGCATCAGCTTACGCACTTGGCCTAGTGTTCATTTTAGGAAAGGTAGATTTAAAAGTCCTGGAAACCAATGCATCGTTTGTGTGAAGTTGTATAGATGGGAATATGCTGTGAACAGACCCAGTGTGCATCCTACCTGTAGCTCACACCATGCCACCTCCACTGTAGTCTCTGTGTCCAGCCCTTTATAGACCGTCTTGAAAGACCCCCTTCCAATCTCTATGTTGAATTTGAGATATCTTCCATCAGGAGATGTTGCCACCGCTTTAGTCTCCACGTCCTCCTTTTCTTCCTGCTCCCACTGAGTGTCAAACGTGATGCGAGACAGAATCTTTTGCTGTTTATTATGAAGTTCGTTTTCAGAGTCCGAGCTGGGATCTTGAGGAGTGGATCTGGCAACAGGTTTCCAGTTGTCACCGACGGACCCGGCGTCGGGGTCCTGGCGGCACGTGCTGGAGCTGGAAACCGGAGAGGCGGACGGCGGGGTGTCGTCTGTTTTTTCTTCCTCTGCTCTGGACTCGGGCAGAGAGAGAATATTTTCTGCCGACCACGATAAGGCTTTGGAAAGTACACCGCTGTATAGGGGAGAATCAATGTCCATACTAATTTTCTGCAGGCCGTAGGAGTTCCTCCGTGCGCCCAGCCCGTGCGTCCTCAGCACGGATGGGACTCGGGACAAACAGTCGTCGGTCATATCCGCGGAGAGCCCCGGGAACCCGCGTCCTGGTATCTCTACTTGTGCATGAGACATTGTGGCAGGTTCAACCTGATTTGGAGCCTAAATATGGAAATAACAGTAGGACAGCAGAGCACCGTTACTTTATATTTCAGGTTACTTTTCCATGATGTCAGTTAAGTCAGTGGCTTTAAAACAAAAGACTGGAGACTGAATAACAGCCATATCTAAGGAAAACAAGATTAGAGACGATAGTCGGAAACGTGTAAACTACTGTAGTGCCTGTAGTGGTAACAAGCCATAGAAGTATATGACAGATAAAGCGTGTAAAAAAACAGAAAAGTGAGGAAAATACACTTACTCAGCACATTCACTGCGTAAAAAACATGTCACTTGAACGCTCCACGCACATTAATGCATAGTTTCTTTCAAGTGATTCGTGTGGTCCTCTCGTCTTCTTCTTCTTGTCTTTCTGAAAGCTTTTGCCATAACCTACTGCGAAAGGTCTGAACTGCCAATATCAACAAAGCTCCGGAGGGCAGTTCGTCCTGTGCGCTCCCAGTGCGCGCTTCCAACTCCGCCCCCTCGCAGCTTTCACGCGCCAATAGGGCAATCCAGAGGGAGTAATTATAATAAGATGAGGAGTGTTTGGTAATTTATCATTTTGAACCGCAAGTGTTATTAAGTTTTGATTTGTTTTATCCGATTAAAAGAATATCTTCAAAACTCAACTGTGGGAGTGACTCTAAATTTTTGAGAAACAATCCATAAGCTGCCTTTTATGACACTTTGTATTAATTTGGTGATCAGGTTCTTCAGCTGGTTGACTTTAAGCTTGCTGACGAACAGAATGTCCACACTTTCAACTGGCCCCCCGCTGATCAAAAGAACTCCTCCTCAGTTTCCTCTGAAATTAGATAAAAACGATGAGTCATTTTATTACTTGGCCAAGGCTGTCCTCATTTGTGGAAAGCGATATGCTGCCCAAAGGTGGAGGATGCGCACCCGCGCCTGGCCTACAGGGGGGGCTGCTGCTCGTGAAACAGTACACCATTATCAGCCAAGGCCACACTGGGCCCCACCTGCCCCACAAGAGAACATACAAGGTTTTATCCACAAAGACACGCACAATTCTCTGGAGCTGTATCATCCCTCCACAGGCGGGAATACACAGCACATGATGTCAGTATGCAGTACTTTAATACAGCTGCAGCAAGGAGATCAAAACATCATCATTGCTGCAGTTTCAGTCTGCACTCTGCAAAGCTTTTGAAGTCCTCACTCCTGTTTTTCACACAACAAAACGTCGATGCACGTGAAAGAAAGGAAATAGCCAGAAAATTTAACAAATGTCTAATTTATTTCCTACGGGATATGAAAAAGAAGTTGAATATAGACAGAGATAAAGATAACAGGAGCATCACAGTAGCTACTGCACAATAATAGGATACAGCAATCTGTACATGAAGTCCACTATTATTACACGCAGCTGAGTCAAGCCAAGACTGGCTCAAGCGTCTGTTGTGTTCCTCTTCTGGAAGCATTTACTCTCAAAATAAAAAGTCCCTCTGGTGTTGCTTTCTGGAATTTCTTGGTATGTCTGGTTGGAACAGAGGAATAACAGCCGAGCAAAGATCCACAGCTATTTTTACAGAGTAAATTTGTTAACAGAGAAAAATGAGAATAAAAGTAGATGCATTTACAATAATAAAGATGGAGTAAAGTTAAAGCGGGCAGGGAAAGACGTTCCCCTAAAGTACTCAGACATGACAGTATTTAGTGCCCTGATATTCATTGCATGGTTAAATGGCAACAAATGCTACCTATGACGACTTTACAAGTAGCATGATCTAAAATGCCCCCCCCCCCCAAACACTTAGAAATGATATTGGTTCTCTTCCAGTAAGAGAAGGCTTTGAATCAAAAGGCAACAACAATTAGAGGACCAGCATCCACTAGACTCGGTATTGAGGTGCACCTTATGTAGCCTTAAATGGCTAAATCTTAATAAAAATTTGTCTGTAAAGTACAGTATGAGGGCTCCCAGACAGAGGGTGTGTGATTCCAGCACAGTTTTAGAAGAACTTGACGCCTTTTCCATCGTCCATGGTGAAGAGCTCGGCTTTGCCTTCTGTCTGTAAAGCCTGCAGCGAGCGAAGCAGCATCCAGTCCTCCAGACCGTGGAATTCTGGAGAAAAAGGATTACAAGCTATAAGAAAATCAAATAAACTAATCAATGAGTCAAAACACTGATCACTCAAATATGAGGTGAATAACAACTATTATCTCATAACAAACCTGCATTTCAAGTCTGGAAATATCTGCCTAAGAGAGCAAGGGAACACTTGGTTAATGTGTTGGATCTGGGAAAAACATAGGTGTAAATATCTGAGTGACTCTCAAAGAAGCCAAATTATTTAGGTCACTAAGAACGAGGAGGGCTTATGGGGTGTTCTCAATTAGCAGCAGAGGACTGAGTACCACAGGGCAACTTCAGAGTCCATGCCTTAGGGGATCAGAGCCAATTTCAAGCATGCTGCCTGGAGGACCAGCAGCATAGTTTTATATGGTAAGTGTTGACTCTTTGCAGTGATGCCAGATAGGAGGGATGGGATCACCGGTTTATAATAAGGCTCACACACAGTGACAATTAACTTAATGTGCATGTTTTGGACTGTAAGGAAAGAGCCCAGAATACCTGGAAAGAACCCACAGAGGCACAGGGCAAACATTTAAACTCTGTACAGAAAGTGGAATTCGAATCCAGAATTCACCGCTTGTTGTGAGCGTTAATCTTTGTGCCAAAGTTCCAAATAAATCAAAATCTCAGGCTTCAGGGCTGCACCAAACACATTTTTCACTCCTCTTGGCTATGTATGATACTTGATACTTCAGTCAGTCCATGAACTGAAGGCCCCATCAAGGTTCGGTATTTGGTAAATAAGGATTATTTTCAAGCTGTGAATCATGCAAATCTGGTCTAGTGGAGGCCAAGATTAAACATATGTAGCTGGAAGTAAGTATAATAGGTTCCCTGTAGGGTTAGGGTGTGCTATGCAAGAAAACAAGTAAGAAATGGGCAGGTATCCGAGCCACTCTGACAAGAGCCAAATTATTAAGGAACAGGAATCTCTGACACAGCAAGACCTTTTGGCTCCCAGTCACGGGCAAAAGGTTTAGATACCACAGGGTCTCTTTCAAGTCCATGCCTTGGCAGGTCAGAGATGTTTTTAAGCACTTAAAGGATAAGCAGTATATTAAGCTGATATCTTCATAATGTTTTGGGTCAATGTGTGCAGCACATTTCATTAGCATCGCATTTATTAACATTAAACAGTGCTTTACGTGCAAAAATAGAGATGAAAGAAGCAATTTGGGACTACAGCTAGGCGAAATCATGCAGAAACAGGAAACAGAGTAAACAACACAAATCAAACAGTTAAAACAAACTAGGACTGGAAACCTACTGTACAGCCAGCATTAATAAAAGCCTTTCTCGCCACTGTGTTATGTTATGTTTACTTTAACGCGAGCTGGGTTTTATGGGTGCTTTCTCCATGTGGAAAACTTTAAAACGGTGCCATACCTTCACCTTCTGTGTCATCACCATTGGACAGCTCATAAAGTGTAAACACAGAGTTGACCATTCCGTTTTTGGAAACCTAAAATGTCGGAAAAAGATATAATGGTTACATTTACAGATGCGTTAAGGTGATAGAGAATAATTTTCTTTATTACAAAAAGAAAAGAAAAAAAAAAGCAGCTTTTTAAAGAAAAAACCCCCATTTTATTCTAGATGATGAAATTGTGGATAAAAATAAAAACTATTCCCAAAGTATTTTATTTATTTAATAAAATATTGATGTTTGGTGTCCCTGTATTGATACAATATTACCATGCAAAATATTGCGATACTATGCTGTATTGATTTTCCCCCCATCCCACTCAATTGTCCAGTTACTTTTAAGTCTGTGAAAATGAGGGACTGTGCATAAAAACGGCTTTAATAACCAAACACTTAGTGTCAAAATTCTGTTAAAACCTTTGAATTACAGCTTTAGGTCTGTATTTCTGTTGTTTCTCTTAAAATCCACTGTGGTGGATTATTTATGAACCCAACTGTATTTTCAGAAGTTTCTAGCTTGTCTGTAGCTTCAATCCTATTTAATATCGCTGAAGGCTATAATTTTGACCCTCTCCCGCAAACAATACTTGTTAATAAAACAAATCACTGATTGTTTCCATTGGATTTTTTTACAAAATATAGAATATTTACAGACATATGCTTTTGACACTGAAAATATAAACATGTTCAAACCAGTTTCACTCCTTTTCAATTACCATAACCCCAGTATACAATCTGGAACAATTTTCACACATTTTTACACAAAATCAGACAGATGCAAGTGCCATAAACCTGCCCAGCACCACAAACTTTCTGGTCCAAAGGTTGAAACCACTCGCTTAGGTTACTAATGCAGGAGCTAAAGCAAGAAATTCACAAACGACTAGCAGATGCAGGACACAGATTCTGTCCACCATGGTTTTGTCCCTAGAGAAATTATCCCAACATCTGTTGCTAATGATCAGTTCTAACCTGTCTAAAAGTGTGCTGCTCCTCAAGAAGTCAGCAGTGGCTCTGCACTCGTGCCAGCGCAGGCTGCTTTTTTTTTTTTTTAAGCACAAGGAGCAAAGAGAGCCCAAGTGGTCGATGAATACAACACTGGCCTTCTCGTTATGTCGCAGGTAACACCTACAATATGTGTGCAGAAGTACAAGGTGTACAAAACAGCACAGCAGTCGTGTTTAAATTGTTTACACAACCACAGCGGTTGTGACGTACACCCACAGCCCTGAAGATGTGCTCCATTAACCTTCACCAACACCATCTGTGTGCCAATCTCTATCATGAACAGCACAAGAAAGAATACGGCACATCTGTAAATGGCATCAAAACGCACTAGATCCTTTTTATTACATGATAATTTTCCCCCCTTACAGACATGTAGCTGATAGGCTTCCCAGACTTACTGGAAAAATGGGGGGGGGGGAAAAAAAAACTATACCCATTTGGATCTTTAAAGGTACTAATTTGGAACCTTGACCACAAGTCTTATTCTATTTTAATATAATTTCTTAATTTGACACATGAAGTGGTAAACAGTCTTATAACCTGAACGTACGAAAACAAAAAAAAGAAGCAGAAACTGAATTAAACTAACTGAAAGTTGGAGAAAGTGAAACAGATGTTTTTTAAAGCTGCCATTTCTTCTAAATGCATCGCATGCAGTTAATCATTAAGTTTCTGTTTTGAAGAGAGAACAGACAGAAAGGAATAATCGTTGTTCAAAATGTGGGTTCAGAACAGGCAGTGTGTGGTCCAGTTTTTACAAGAACTGCAACCAAACAAAATGATTTAAGTAATTTGTGAGGCTAAAGGCAATAAATAGGTAAAATGATATAAATTTATAAACGAAAATATAGTGTACCTGATCAGCTATATTTATGAGAGTTATAGACTACCTGAAGGATGAGAAGTTAAAACTTTCTGGACCCTTAGTTTGAAGACTTGTTTGGTTAAGGCTTGGTTTTAATTCAGTTTGA